CTCTTGGGGAGTTTCTGCCTGATTCTCCYTTTCCATTASGAACATTTTMTGAGCCCTCTTGAGTGCTGGTCCCAACCAGGTCTGYCTCCATTGCAACCRTCTCGAACAGTCCCAATGGGGATYCCAACGTTACCTGATTTTCGAGCCTTTTGATCACATTTTCCCCTTCCACAAAGTGAGGGATTTGGAATGCTATGTSTGTTGCGATCTGCCACTCTCTTGCCTTTGACTCSTACCTGGCTGCGATAAGCGGCCTGATGTTTCTCAGTGTTCTGCGGGCTGCTTTGGCCGACTCCACTACCATTGGGGCTTTTCCCTCCGCAATCTRAGTGATGGTTGTGAATTCAGGTGCATATTCTTTGTTCCATTTTCTCAGTTTTTCGGTTTGAGATAGTACCACTGCAGCTTCTTTTTCCAAAAGATCACGCTCTGATTTCTCCTCCACTTCGGTTTGGTCATTGTTGGTGTCCCTTCTTTTTTGGTTTTTGCCTGTTTTCCTTGCCTTGGGACGCAGATCCTGAAAGTTGTCCTTGGTTGTGGGCATGGTTTTGTCCTTGTCCTCTGTACCTTGTTCCCTTGCCCTCTTCTTTTCTGCATATCTGAATGCTGCGTATTCTGAAAATTCCTCCGCTTTGGCTTTTTGAAGGACTGCRAACTGATTGGAGGAKGTGTTGTTTCCTGTGATGGCATCCTTTTTCCCATTCACCTGGGATCTCTTGGCGTGTTTCAGGCATGCTACCCGGACATCGAAWGCATGTTCCCTTTCCCTTTTTGCTTTTTCCACATAGTGCCTGAKCCAGGTTAAGGACMGTTTGGAGCGGTCTTCATCTTCTGTGGACACAACATCCRGTTTGGGAATTTTCCCACCTTCTTCGTCGYCCGCCTGGTCCCCTGTCAGATCGAACTCCATTCCTTCACCTTCTGACCCATCTCCTGTCGCGTTTGTTCCTTTTGTTCCCTTTGCCTCTGGCGGATCATCCTCCCTTCTTCTTTTCTGGCCCGATTCTTTCTCTGAAGGTCTGTCCCCTTGCTGTAACTGACGTTTATCCCTTCTTTTGTATGTCTGCAGCTATGCTTGTTTCAGAGCCTCTCTGAACAGGCTTGGTTCTTTGTTGTATTCCTGTTCAATCTGTTCTCTTATCGTGTCCAAATCCCACAATAGGTCTTCCCTTGCCTTTTCCTCCCTGATCACCCGTGAATCAGTAATTGGCATTGTGTTGATCTTCGTTGGGTTGCCCTTGACTTTTCCTGTTGCCTTCTTCTGCCACCTGCTGTCTGCAGGGGGGAAGATGTCCGTTTTTTTGGAGGCAGGTGTTTGATCTGTAAGGTGCCAGACCCAATCTGGTTCGTCAAGATTATCGTCAAAAACCCACCCATCGTAGAAGGAGTCTGCCACATACCAGATTCCCGAAGCATCTTCTACTTCGACCAGCATGTTGGGTAGAAGCTTTCTTTCTTTCGCTTGTTTTGGATACTTGGGACAATTAGGGTCGTTACCCAGGTGACCTCGCTCTCTGCAGCGAAAGCAAATTGGAGAAGTTCTCGTTGATATSCTCACCTCAATTGCCCTGTTCTCAATCTGAAAATTCCAGACCAGASGGAAGAYTGGAGGGTCATYKGTTTGTACATCCAAGATCGYTGTCATGGATCCRCAGTGAGGCGCCAGGAAGTCTRGTGTAGGTAGGATCCACTTCAAGATTTTGTTTGYTGTGTACTGTCTTTCTAGCMTGTCGACCAGCAAACCGTGGAACCCCGGTTGGATGTTGTCAAATTGCACCCARAAGTTTTCCTTCAACAGTGTYTGTTYGTATGAGATTGCGAAAGTCGGGGTSTGCCTCTGCGCTGAGAGCTTTTTCCACCTTGTGATTGTGCAGACTGAGCCGTGACAGTTCCTGGATTGCATTTCTGCTGCAATCCTTGCGTGGTCCTCATCGACGAAGAGAACCAAGATATTGTTACGGCCCAGATTTTGAAGTGAGAAGGTGTCCCCTATCTGTGTGAATCTCGGTTCCTTCTTAATTRTTTCGATTACCCATTTCCTTTTCTCGGCGGGCTGGAGATCTGCACCGTGGCGTGCAAAATTGAACACCACTCCATGTTTCTCATGCAGATCATCCAGTTCAGCGATCTTCTCCTCCGGATATTTCCAGACCACTACTTCTTCTTCTTTCCCTTCGACTAACTGTTTTTCCGTGGACTCAATTCCTTGGACTTTTGTCCTCTCAATCAGAAATTTGAGGGCCTCGTTATCAATGACATTAACTTTCTTGTCTGAAGACTCCTGTTCGTTCAACATCCCGGACAGTTTTGGGTTGTCCATCGTTTATGCTTCTAAAAATCCGGACTTGATTCCGTAAAGACTCTTTGCTGGCTGGCCTGGTGACCCCTGGGGCGGGGGTGGGAGGATTGGTAGGACGAGGTGCCAGTTGCAGAACCACCTGGTGAGGGCGAGAGGGATCAGATCTCGAGTCAGATTGGGTACGCAGGAGAGAAGGAGG